TATGGTTACCAAAAGGGAAAGACGGTGGGGAAGGGGTACATTAGGAGTTTGGGATTAGCAGATACAAACTACTATATATAAAATAGATGGACAACAATGTTCTACTATATAGCACAGGGAAGTATACTCAATATCCTATTAGATATCATGTGGAAAAGTGTGAGTGTGTGTGTGTGTATGTGTATAACTGAATCACTTTGCTGTATACCAGAAGCTAACACAATATTGTAAATCAACTATACTTCAATAAAAAAAATTTTTTTAATGATAAATGAATGGTACGGATGGTAATTGCTAATGTGAGTGGGCATTATTTACAGAATAAACTCTTACTTCACTTTCATTTCTATCTTGCTCTTTAGAGCCCTCTGGCCACCCCCTACTTGGCAGTTATCAAAGGTTGCAGTTACTATCTCCCCCTTCTAAATGTGTTCTTCTCTTCTCTGGGGTTCCATAATTAAATAAATTACTTCAGTACCCACCCAGGTACTGTAGGTGACATCTGTGATTCCTTCCTTCTACCACCCAAGTCTAATCTCTCTTGAATCTGTGTCTCTCCACTCCTCCTCCATTACTACCATTTAGATCAGTTCTGTGATGTTGCCTGGCTGCCCACCACAGCCTCCCACCACCCAAGCCCTTCTCGAAATCACACCACAGTGAGAGTTCTAAAGAGCAAATCAGCATCAGCTTTGCAGAAGGTAGAGACTATGTTATAAAGTAGCATAAATAGTGTTTATGAGGCAGCATAACTGTGGGTCTTGGCACTAGAAAGTCTTTGAATTCCAACTACATGACTTTGGGCAGATTACCTCTCAGCCTAGCCCACACTCTTACATTGTCCTCAATGACACTTCACAATTAAGAACACAATGAGCCCAAGGGTGAGTGACTCCCTAAGACTAGAGGAGAACGGGCCCGGGCTATACACACAAGAGCCTGCTCAGGGAGTGATGAAGAAATAAGCTAGAAGGAAACTGGTTCCCTAAAAACTGGAATAGAGCCTTGGAATCACATGCAAAATCTGCATGTGAGGACATAAACTTATACCTTGGTGAGGTTTTTGCTACTGCAGGGAGAGAGGGACTGGGTCTTTGTTACTCCCAGATCTCCCAGAGATGACGCACAGTTAAGGCCCAAGGGAATCCTGGTAGCAGAAGTGCTCTCTGCAGATTTCCTGATAGAAGGAAATCTTTCCTGGCAGGCTGGATTCCTGGTGCTATGTAAATCTGGTTTTTCCCCCTTGATTTGTGTAGCCCTTTTCTGTTCCAGAGGGAACTGGAATGGCCACAGCCTGGGACTTCTCTTGCTACTTCAGATAATCCAGATAATTAAGTAGCTGGGTCACCTTGCCTGGAGTCTGGGATTCAGAAAAACTCTCATTCAGCATCTTATATTCAGAGGTAGTCTTTTTTTCTTTTTTTAAGGGAAATGTGTGTGTGTGTGTGTGTATGTGTGTGTGTGTGTATAACTATATATAAATACATACGTACACACATATTACTATGGGTTAATTAACCCATATTAAGGGAATAATATACAGAATATACAGAATTTCTACCCACCAATAAGGAAAAGTTAAAAAGCCCCAAACAAAACTGGACAAAGGATATGAATAAGGAATTCACAAGGAAATGCAAAAGGCCAATAAACATAAAATGGCACAAAAGTCCAGTAGTATTCAGAGATTAAAAATAAAAATGACACCATTACATACCTAACAGATTGGCAAGTATCTAAAAGTTTGTTAATATAAATATTGGCAAAGATAGGCACATGGGAATATAAATTGGCACAGCCAGTTTGAAGGTTCTTCAGCATCTACTAAAATTTTAAGTGCATATATGATGTAATATATTAATTCTCTGATCCCCACTGTCCTTGAGAACTGGGATTCTTGACATGGGAGAAAAGTATGGTAGGCAGCCTGTAAGATGTCCTCCAGTGATCCCCCTTCCTCGTATTCAAAGCGTTATATAATCCTCTCCCTTTAAATAACTTGCTTCTAACTAACAGCATACAGTAATCTTGAGGGGATGCCACTTCTGTGAATAGGTTACAAAAAAACTGACTTCTGCTTGCTAGCTGTGCTCTCCCCTGCGGAGTTCGATGAAGCAGTCATGTTAAAGAGGCCTACATGGCCCTCTTGCCAAGGCCAGCAAGTAATTAAAGAGTAACTCAGTCCAGGAACCCTCAAGGAACTGAATTCTGTCAATGAGCACATGAACTTGGAAGCAGATCCTTCCGCAGTCAAACCTGATGAGACACCGGCCCTGATCAACACTTTGATTTCAGTCTTGAGAGACTCTGAAGCAGAGGACCCAGCTGAGCCATACCTGGATTCCCAACATATGGAAACTATGAGATAATATGGGTTGTTTCAAACTACTAAGTTTTGAGGTAATTTGTTACATAGAAATAACTAATATGAGAGAAGATACAAATGTAAGAGAAGTAACCTATAGTCCTGAATTTGAATTGGAAGTATTGCTAAATGTATATGCCCTAGGTCTTGCTACTAAAAAGGCTTAGAAACAATGACCAGCTAAGAAATTAACATCGCCTGACACCCAATCTGTGGTCTTAAAATTCCATTTCCCCCAAAGCAGCCAAAGGTCCATGGAGAAATCTGAGGCAGGAAATATGTGACATAAGCCTGAAACATTTTGTCACCATAAAGCAAGGAAATTCCTGACAGAGTCTCATGTCAGAAGGACTCCGGAGCCAACCTGAAGAGCTTCCCATCTGAAGACGGGAAAATTTGTGCATCAGTAAAGATAATGACAGCAATGGACTGAAATACTTTAAGTATGTTTGGAAGCAATCAAGGATTTATCCTGCCTTTTCCATGTGAACTATAATATTTGGTAATCAAATAGGTGTTAAGAAAAGGTTTCTTTTAATAAATATATTCCTTTAATGAATAAAGAAGGAATGGTAAAATTAGAATACCATGATTTTGCCAACCATTATGAATCAGTGGATAGAGACACTAAATGCCAATGGCTGCTAACATCACAAAAAGAAACCAGGCTTTCCTTCTTGATGGAAGAAAATGACACCATGATGAAGTGGTCTTTGTGAGAAAGGCTAAACCTGAGTATGTTCAAGCTTCTAGACTGAACTACCAATTCCCAGGAATAGAGAAGATGTGAAACTACAACAGAGGGAGGCATTTGTCAAAATGCAGACTGTGGGCAACTACAGCATAAATGATCCCCCACCCCACCAAATACAGTGCAATGGGAGAAAAGAAATGGAGGGGAAACCTACTTAAGAGAGACAAGACCTATGAGCCAAACACATTTTGTAGACATCACGGGGATCCTGATTCTAGCAAACTTAAAAAATACATGGCCTAGGAATTGGAATGGAAACACTTACTGGCTATGTAATGAGGAATAAGGAATAACTATTAAATTTTTATGTCAGAAAAGTATCATATCTATGTTTTAAGAAGTTAGAGATACATATTGGAATATTTACAGGTAAAACAATGTATCTGGGATTTGCTTTAAAACAACAAGGGAAGGGAGTAAGTGGATGGGGATACATGTGATACGAGCCTGGTCAGCGTAACTGCTGAAGGTGGCTGAGTATGTAAGGGTCATTATATTATTCTTTCAAGACGGAGTCGATCATAATCGTTTACATCATTTCTGACGATTAAATGAGGTAACACCTGTTAAAGCGATGAGAGCTGTGCCAGGCAGGAGGCAAGCGCTACAGAAGAATGGATTAGTACCACACCTGTTCCGGAAAGGCCCGCATTCACCCTGCCTTGGTTGGCAACGCAGCAGGCGCTGGGTGTCCTCCTCCCGGGGACTTTAGCCCAGAGCCCGATGACCGCGCTCGCCCTGGCCCCGCCAGCCCTGGTGGGACCTTCTCTGGGCTCCGCCACACGCGGACACTTCCGCTGTCTCCCTAGGGGGCTCGTTAGCTGTTTCATCCTGTTGGCCTCCTCACTTTGGGCCCATTCAGGGCAAAGAGGCAAGTAGGAGACTGCCCCTCTTCCCCAGCTCCCCCAAATCCTGGGACCTCCCTTTCCATACAAATCTGGCTCTTACCTTCCATCTCCTAGCTCCACCCCATCCCGACGTGCCCCCTAAGTGGACGTCACGTTGTGATACAGGAGTACCAAGAGACCTAGAGAGGAAGGGCTCCCCAGCATGGCCTCACCCCTAGGTCTCCACTCACCCACCTGGCCTTCATGTCTTTCCACCAGAGCGCAGAGAGGGGAAGCAGTGCGTCCACAGCCATGCTAGTAACAACGGCAGCGCCCTGCTGCCAGGAAGCAACCTTGACTTGTGTCTCACTCCCACCCCTCGGCTTTCCCAGCCCTCCCTTCCCGTCAGGCTCTGGCACCCTCAGCCAACCATTAACATCACCTGAGTCTATCCAAGTCCTCCTCTCGCACCAACACGGGATGAGCATCACCCTCTCTCCCAAGGCTCTCAGGACACTGCTAGTCACACAAAATAATTACCTGCCACCTACTTATGTGGCACCTATGTTTTCTAGATAAGGAAGAATAGTATTTCCCAGGTGGTGAAACAAAGTTTCTGGCCACTAAATAGGAAAGAGCACTAGCCGGAGAGGCAGTCTCAAATACAGAACTTTGTTACCTCGCAGGGATGTGACATTGAGCAATCACTTCATGTCACTAAAAACTCAGTTTACTCAACTGTAAACGTGGATGGTAAATACCCAGGCCTTTCTCTTCTGGGTGATGGTGAGGATCATCTGAGAAACCCAGTGGGAAAGCTTTTTATTCTATGCCGTAAGGCCTTTGCACCAGCTGATCCCTCTTCCTGGATTACCTTTCCAGCACTGAGCTGACTCCCTCACTTTCTCCAAATCTTAGCTCAAATGCCTCCTTAACAAAGTCTCCCCTGACCACCCTATATAACAAAACCTTGCTCCTCCTTTATCTTGCGCCACTCTTGTTTCCAAAGCACTTTGTCATATATATATATATATAATTTAATTATTATACTTACTGTTTATTGTTTTCCTCTGGTATGGTTCACTGAAGTGTTCCAAGCCCCCATCACAGTGCCCGCTGGCCCAGAGCGGGGCTCAGCAGATGCCAACTGGCTGAGTGCCCTGCGCACTGCCTAAACATCCCTTCTCCTCTCGATGCTCCTCGGATCACAGGCACTGAAATGTCACTGTCACTGTCAATGAGGCTGAATGCAAGGAAGTGGTATCAGCAACTCTTTGGATTAGTCTGGTGAAAGAGAAACAATAAAGACGACACAGTCCCAAATTCCCCCTTCAGTTTCTCCTTGCTGCAGGCCTGTCAGGCCCCCCTTCCTCCTTCTTCCCCTTTCCCCACCTCATTGGGAGGCCTCTCCTCCCCTTTGCTTTTCTCCTTTACCCCTTTGGCCTCTATTTTGTGGCTGCTTTCTCCTCTGTGAGCTTTTCTTTGCCTTTCTGGGTAGTGAGTGAGGAAGGGGCTGTCTGAGCACTGGGGTTGGAGTCTCAGAGGGACCAAACTGAAGCTGTGTCGAAGGTGCGTGTGGGAGGCAGTCCCGCCCTACACGAGGACATGGCAGCGGAGACCTGCCTCGTCCTTGTGTCCTGAGGTGCTCAGGGAGCCCAGGGCGGACTAGGGGTGAGGATCGCAGGCCTGCCTTGTGCTCCTAAACGTCCAACAGCTCCTTTCCCTTCACCCTGGAGCTCACATGAAGAGGACAGGGGAGGGAGCATGGAAGCTCTGGGGCAGCGGCTTTTTCCTAAAGTAAACGCTTATCAGAACCACTTGGACATCCTGGGTTAAGATTTGGCTCGATTCGCCTGTCACAGAGCAGAGGACACCACCTAGCTCCCCAAGCCACCTCAGCCCACCTGCCCACTGCACTGCAGGAGCATCTCACTCCTCTTAGGGTGGGGCAGGCAGTGGGGCCACGTTGGGAGCACACATGTAGGGGCAATGTGCTGACGGGGAGGCTGCAGGTGGAAGAAGGATGGGAAGGAAACCGACTTGCGTGGCACCTCCAGCTGATCAGGACCATCAGGGCTGTGTGGGGCCGTGATCCTCAAGTGCACTCCTTTAACCAGCAGCACCAGCATCACTGGGAGTTAACTGAAAATGCAGATGCCTGGGCTCCATTCTGACTTTTTGAACTAGAATCTGTATTTTAACAAGATCCCAGGTGATTTGTAGATACTCTTAACATTCCATAAGCACTATTCTAGATAATCTGCATTTAGCTAATTCTTCTATTTACAAAGAAACAGTCAAGGGATTTTTAAGAGCTTTTTTTTTTGTTATGGTCCCTGAGCTATAAGGAAAACCAAATATATATACATATGCGTTTACATATATACTTTTTAAATTTTTTAAAAATATACTTTGAAGACATGTTTAGCACAGTATACTTTTTTATTTTTTTTAACAGAGGTACTGAGGATTGAACCCAGGACCTCATGCATGCTAAGCACACACACTACCACTGAGCTATACCTTCCTCCCTTAGCATGATATACTTTTAAGGTGAACTTTGATTTCCTTTCTTTTGAAATTCTGATTCAGATTTTTTCACTGTGGAGAAAAGTATAGCAAGAACGTTAGCAAAGGTATTTAACATTCGATTTCGTTCCAACACGATACTTACAGTTCCACCTACATTCATGAGATGGCGTTATTTCTTATGTAAATCATAGTGCACATTTATTGAGAGTTACGTTTTCAGTGCTTTACAAGTTTGTATTACGGAATCTTAGGTAACCTAAGAGGGCACTCTATCCCCTATTTTATAGACAGGGAGACTGTTAGCATGGGAGCACTTACTTAAGTTGCTTAAAGTGGCAGGGCTAACAGATGGAGAGGCAGAGGCAGGAGCTGAACTTAGATGGTGTGGTGCCACACTTGTGTGTTTAACCCTGACAGTAAATGGCCTGAGCATGCTGTTCTCCCCAGTTAAGCAACAAGCTGCCTGAGGTCAGAGGATCCATTTCTTTTTTTTTCTTTTCTTTTGAATGGATGTACTGGGGATTGAACCCAGGACCTCATGCTTGATAAGCACGCTCTCTACCACTGAGCTATACCCTCCCTTCACCCAGCATTACCACCCCCCAACCCCCAGGCTCTTTACAGAGTCTCAATGATGCTGCTTGCAATGGCCTTCCAAGATGCTGACTAACCTTCAAAAGGCAGTGGCAGAAAAGGCTGAATAAAACAGGCACATTGCAAAGTTTTTAAAGTACTACCTTATTCATTCCTTATAACAAAAATGGAAACCTTAAATATGGGATGACCTGCCCTGAGAATTTGGAATTAGATAATTAAAATGGGACATGGATTTCTAAACCATCAAATCGACAGGTTTTACAGCATATGTAATGCTGCTTAGTAAACGAATTTGCCACCCATTCTGATGAAAGCACCAGGGAGATAATCCATCACATTCCTGGGGAGACTGTGGCAATGATTTCCTATGGGGATGGGAACAATTCTTATTCCTTAAAAACTTCATTGTATTTAAAACATCAATTTTTACCAAAAAAAAAAAAAAAGACTCACCTCTGAATGTCCTTGGAATTTATCCAATCTTAAAAAAGCATACATAAATACTAGTTACTTAGAGTTGTTTAGTATTAAGTGTTATTCAATAACGGCCGCTCCATACAATTTATTTCCAGGTAAGAGTTGGTCTCTTTAAGGGACCTCATTGGAAATGAACCACGGGATAGGGAAAAAGAAGGCTTCCCGGCAACCGCCGATACTCACAGTCATCCACCCAGGAGACACCAGCACCTGGTCTGCAGAAAAGCTGTGCATTCCAAAGCAAAGTAAATTTGATAAGAACAAAATAAGCCACTTGAAATCTTACTTTCCAAGATGGCCCCATTTAGGGGCCCTGGTGGTCCATGGAATTAGTCCCGTTTGGCAGCGGTATGGATTCTAAAGTGCCTAATGAGGTTGTAGTGATGACTGAAGGCTTTCCCACACTCAGCACATGCATACGGTCTCTCTCCAGTGTGGGTTCTCTGATGTTTCATAAGCAGCGTTCGCCTACTAAAGCTTTTACTGCACTGAGTGCACTGATAGGGTTTCTCCCCAGTGTGGATTCGGAGATGCTGAAAAAGCCCCGCGTTCTGACTGAAGGCTTTCCCACACTCGTTACAGCAATAGCACTTCTCTCCAGTGTGTATCCTCTGGTGCTGCACAAGGTATGAGCTCAGGCGGAAGGCTTTCCCACACTCTTCACATTCATATGGCCTTTCCCCCGTGTGGACCCTCCTGTGTCTAATGAGGCCATTGCTGGCGCTGAAGGCTTTCCTACACTCCTTACATTGATAGGGTTTCTCTCCAGTGTGGCTTCGCTGATGTTCAATCAGGCCTGACCTCTGACTGAAGGTCTTTCCACATT